TGTTAATAATAAATTTATTTAAAATTTATTTTTTATTTTTTGAAATACAAAAGTATTAAGTTTTATATTCAAACTTTTGTTATCATAGTTGAACTAGATGGGGGTGAGAAAGAGAAGGGGGAGAGGGAATGATTTAAAAATTATGATAGTAAGCTTGAACTTATTTTTTTGGGGGTCGTTTGATAACATTTTTATTTTTGCATTTTCAAAAAATTGTAAAACAGAAATAATTTTTGTTTTGTAATAAACATTGAAAACATAAAACATGTTTGGAATTTATTTGTATTTACCAAATTATGAAAATAAAAATAAAAAACATGTTTGATAATCACTTCAAGTTATATCCTTAAGTCTCTTGTTTTTTCTTTCAACAATGATATTGAGACTTACCAAATTGAATTAATTTGATAAATTAATGTTATGGTCAACAATCCCAAATGACAATTCAATCAATTTCAATTGGAAATTCAAAAATCTCAAATGACAATTCAATCAATCCTAAATGACAATTCAATCTCAAATGGCAATTCAACAATCTCAAATGACAATTCAATCAATTTCAAATGACAATTAAATCCCAAATGACAATAAAATTAATCCTAAATAGCAATTCAACAATTCCAAATAACAATTCAATTAATACCAAATGACCATCAATCTCAAACACAACATACATAGAGAACACAATACACACACACACACAGACTCAACATAACACACACACACACACATAGAAACTCGTCATTCACACACAACACACACACACAGACTCGTCATTCACACAAAACACACACACATACAGAGACTTGTCATTCACACACATGCATAGATTTGTGCATATATATATGCATATATACATAGAAAGCATCATCTTCTGGGTTTCATAGAGAATGAGAGCGAGACAGAGAAAGAGCATCATCTTGTGGGTTTCAAAGAGAGCATCGTCTAGAGAGAAAGAGAAAAAGCTCCTTCGTCTTCCATAAGGAGCACGTAGAACACAATAGAGAGTGAGGTAGAAGCAAAGACAGTGATAGAGGTGGAGGCAGATGCAGTGATGGTTCGTCTGGTGGTCTGATACAGAGAAAGGAGAGAAGAGAGAGAGAAAGAGAGAGAAGTGATGGGGAGGACAGAGGTGATGAAACGAGTTTTTATACTTCAACAAAGAAAAAACTTTGTTTTGCTGTTAAGAAGACTCGAAGCCCGAATGTCATTAACTCCCCACCCTTTTGCACGTGGTCTCTGTTTCTAGTGTTTTTTGGAACATCTTTTTTTTGTTCCCATTTTTTTGGTTTGTTTCCAAGACAATTGATGTGAACCAAAAACAAAAACAATTAACAAAAACGTTTTTTTTTTTTTTTTGGCAAAAATTAAAAACAAAGACACAAACACAAGAAACAAAAACATCAAACAAACATCCCCTTGATATTTTTGTGGGTGTTTTTGGAAAAAAAAAAAAAAGAGGACTTCTCCGCAAACAAGTCCTAGGGTACCAACCTACAAAAAAAAAAAAAAAACCTTGACTAAAGCGGCATGGATTCGGCTCTTTCACTAGCTGCAATAAGCATCATCCAAATAGAAATATAATCATAATTTTTTTTTTTCTTTAACACGAAAAGTTATCATTATTTGTATTTAATTTATTAAAACAATTTAACTAGCTTCTTTGAATTATTAAAAAACTTTGAATATGAGATTCATTATCAATCCAATAACGACAATAATGCAACTGTTTATAACTTACGGAGGGAGAGAAACAATAGGATCTTTAACAACCTAATTACATCCTAGCAGAGTTTGCTTTTTAGAAATTCAGACCTCCATCAGAGAAAGACTCTCTTTGCTAAAGTTTAAGGCCAACCCTCAGAATCTGTTCTCAGTGCATCAGTGGAACCTCTCTATTGTTTGTCTTGTTTGAGAGTTTTGTGTTTTGTGGCTACTGCCCAAAGATGGGATTAGGTGGGAAGCAAAGGCATTTGCTCTACTTCAGTCTTAATGCCTTCTTTTGTCGGTGTTGTTTTCTTTTGTGGTGTACAAATCTTGGTTTGACGGTGCAGGCTTTCATTTGTACCTGTGCTTTTGTTTTTGTCTTGATACAAATTTACAATTCAAAAAAGGGTTTGTTACAATTTTCCCCCTTCAAGTTTGGGGCATGTTGCAATTGACTCCTTCTGGTTTCAATTTCAACAATTTACCCCTCATACTTCTAAAATTTTTGCAATTGACTCATATCTTTAGGATTTGAGGAATAATTAGCTCAAAGTTAAAATAAAATGATCTAAAAATTTGTTGAAAATACAAAACTACCCATCTTTAGATCACAATTTTCCTCACTTTCAAAAAAATCTAAAAAATAGGGGAAAAAAAAAAATCAAGCCCCTTCCCATTCAACAACAACCAAATCTCCATTGCCACATAGAGAGAGGGAGAGAGAGTTGCAAAGGATTGTTTATGGATTCTCTCTTCAACTCTCCACCAGTATAAGAGAGGTGATATCCATCAAGCACCACCCTCTCCCTTAGTGGTTCCCTTGTTCATCCATCCGATCGAACTGCCCTGTTACGAACACCAAACTTAATTCGGTGTCAATAGAGGAAGAACATTGAACGAAAGGCATGAATCTAACAATCGAACCAAACCTATTTTGGTGTCAATGGATTCTCTCTCTCCAAAGATTTTTCCCATTTGCTATGGGTTTTGGGATTTTTACAGCAACCGTGGTGGATAAAGTTAGTAAATGACATTTGCACTGGGCTTCTTCCTTCTTGATTTTTCTCTTTTCCTTTTGGTTGATTGGTAGTTGGTGGGTGTTGCTTGGTTTGGTAGCGGGTGGGTGTCACTTGGTTTGGTAGTTGTTGGGGGTAGTGGTGGTCGCTTAGGGAAGGCTGTGTTGGGGGCGATGGTGGCTGTTGGGAATGATGGTGTTGGAGCTGGTCGCCAATATGGGCAAAAGAAGGAGAAAGAAAAAAAAAATGGGTTGGGTGTCAATAAAGTCTCAAGGGTACAAAAGTCATTTTATAAATTTTCTTCAACTAATTATATAATTTATTTTATTTAAAACTTGAAGGGGGCAAATTTTTGAAATTGAAACTAGATAGAGTCGATTGCAACATGACCCAAATTTGAAGGGAAAAATTGTAATTAACCCTTAAAAAAATGACAATAATGTAGCCAAGAGTGGCTCGAGACATTTTGAAACTAAAGCGGAAACAATAAATGAATTTTTTTTCAATATTAATAATAAATTTATTTAAAATTTATATTTTATTTTTTGAAATACAAAAGTATTTAGTTTTTATATTCAAACTTTTGTCATCATAGTAGAACTTGACAATAATGTAACCAAGTGCGGCCAAAGACATTTTGGAACTAAAGCAGAAACAATAAATGAATTTTTTTTCAATATTAATAATAAATTTATTTAAAATTTATATTTTATTTTTTAAAATGCAAAAATATTTAATTTTTATATTCAAGTTTTTGTCATCATAGTTGAACTTTGTCATCATAGTTTTTATATTCATACTTTTGTCATCATAGTTGAACTTGTTAGTAAGCTTTGGTCATCATAGTTTTTATATTCAAGCGTTTGTCATCATAGTTGAACTTGATAAGAAGCTTCTGTCATCATAGTTTTTATATTCAAGCTTTATTAATGGACTTTTAATTTAATGGTACTTCTTATCTTGTGAAGATTTTGTCTTCTTGAAATCAAGGGTTCAAATCTCTCTCTCCTTTCCCTCCCCTCCCCAACCCCAACCCCAACCCCAACCCCAACCCCAACCCCAAAATACAAACAAAAATAGTAAGAGAGAGGAGAGAGAATGACTTAAAACTATGATGGTAAGTTTAAATACCACTTTCATTTAGGTGTTAAAACTTAATTTTTAATAACTTGTGACTTATTGTTAACGATTTTCTTCTTCTTTTTTTCCAAAGATAAAAATTTAAGTGTCTTTTATTTTCATTGACTAAATTAATATGTTCAATCCACACAAGCTTTCGGCTTAAATCTAAGTTTTTTGTGGAAATTATTCCTTATAGATTTAAAATTTTTATTTATACCATTACTACACACCAAAAAATGATGAGGCATTCAATAAAATAGAACTTCAAGCCGAAGCTTTATTGGCATAGTAATTGAGTCAGCCCTGAATGTAACTCCAAATAACATTTAAGACACACAAACATGATGCTCAATAAAAGGGAAAACAACCCTAACAAATCGACGATGAAGAAACAACATTGGCCAGGCCGGGCAACAAGTTAAATGAAAAAATCTTTATAGTGGTCAACTAATGATTAATTTACAGGAAGGGCAATTTGGCTTTATCAAAACGTGAATTCCCTCAACCAATTAAAACTTCCAATTAGGTTTTGGTTTGTTTTTCCCTCTTTTGAAGATTTCAATGGTGTTCTATAAATGTAGCTAGTTAGTTGAGCTGATCATAAGGGTTACTTTTTGAAATGTCTTTCCAGCACTGCTAATATAAATAAGCTGTGAAGGCTAAGCTATTTCATGGAATATCACCATCTGTTTTGTGCATATTAGGCCATCCTCCTCTCTAACCTAAACACCTATACACCACCCCAAAAAATGAAACTTCAAATAATATCAAGAGAAACAATTAGGCCTTCCTCTCCAACCCCTCCTCACCTTCGGTGTTACAAGCTCTCCCTGTTGGATCAGCTAGCCCCTCCTTTATACATGCCCATGGTTCTTTTCTTCCCCCCCAGTGGGAGCTCGGACAATGAAAACACATCCAATCCTACTCACAAATGTAGCCAACTCAAGAAGTCTTTGTCTGAAATGCTGACCCAATACTACCCATTCGCTGGAAGGCTAACAAACAAAACCTTCATCAATTGTAATGACGAGGGAGTCGACTTTTTGGATGTTCGAGTGGACTGCCAATTATGGAAAATCCTAAAAGAATCTGAGAGTACTGAAACACTGAATCTACTCTTCCCTAGTGATTTCTTGTGGAAGAAAGATTCGTGCAATGATAGTCTATTGGGAATTCAGGTAAGTTTCTTTGATTGTGGTGGGATGGCTATCAGTTTGTGTATATCAAGATTGTCGATGGAAGTGCCATAACCACCTTTCTTGGTGACTGGGCAGCCACGACGAGACGCCAATCTGATGCGGACCAAGTTTCACATTATTTCATCGGAAATTCTATTCTTCCAGTACTAAACGTACCTTTTATTGTACCTGAAATTGAGGTTGATCTGCAAAGTAAGTGTATCACAAGGAGGTATGTGTTTGATGGCTTAAAGATTGAAAACCTCCAGGCTATGGTATTGGCTGGTGATTCAAGAGGAGTAGTGCAAAATCCTTCTCGAGTAGAAGTGGTGACTGCGCAACTTTATAAGTGTGTCATGGCTACAACTAGGTTAAAGTTGGGGTATTCAAGGGAATCAGCATTGATCCAGTTGGTGAACATGCGCCCAAGAATGGCCCCTCCATTGCCTACAAACTTTGTGGGAAATTTTGTTTGGTATTTTACAATATCATGCCCGAAGGAGAGTGATCATATAAAGTTACATTAACTTGTGTCTCAACTAAGGAATGGGTTAACACAACTCACCAATCTGAAAGTGAATGATTGGTTGATAGACATACATGAATCTACAAACGATGCAAAAATCCTAATTGATGATCACGAAGTTTTCAGGTGTAGTAGCTTTTGCAGGTTCCCGTTATACCAGGTGGATTTTTGATGGGGAAAGCCAATATGGGTCTGCATAACTGCTGGTGTGAAGAATATGTTTATTTTAATCAATACTCCGGCAGGAGATGGAATAGAAGCAATGGTTACTTTGGAAGAACAAGACATGGCCATATTTGAACGTGATCAAGAGCTCCTCGCGTTTGCTTCGTTGAATCCAATTACTTCTACTTAAGAGAGCTTTAAAAAAGAGAATTAGAAACGAGGAAGAAATGAGAAAAAGTAAAAAGGAAAGAAAATGTGCAAGCATTAGTGCTATCAAATATGAACTTTTGAATTCCATCCAGTAATTTTTTGTCGTTGAAATGTTTTCTCTGTAATTCTCAACTTCCGTGATAGCATCCCACAAATGGTCGGCCTCACCCACGAGGTGGTCAATGCTATTCGAAGGTTCTCAACGGTCACCATGCTATCCATCATCTTTTAAATTCGTTGGATTCACTTATTAGTCTCCATTAGATTTGAGCTCCCCTAGAAAGTAGGTGAGTGTTGCCCTGCTAATTCCCTCAACATCGTCTTTCTCCGGTTTTTTCCCCTTGAGCTCAAGGCTGGACGACCCCGTTGCGGTTACTGCTGTAACTATGTCAAGTAGACTTGGAATAAACGTGAGTGAAAAGGTTATAAACTAAGTGTAGAGTCCCGTATATATAGCCAATGAAAGTTACAATAAGAATAAAAAGGTAAAAAGAGAAAACTTAATAAGTCCTAATAAACTAGGCTGCTGCTATATCTCCAACACTCCCCCTCAAGTTAAGCGCAAAAATATCAACTAAGCCAAACTTGACAATGAAATCCCGAAAAATGGATAGAGTGATAGGTTTGGTAAAAACATCCGTAACCTGATTATTGGTCCTCACAAACGATGGAGTGACAATACCACTGCTAACCTTCTCCCAAAGAAAGTGAACATCGATTTCTATATGCTTCGTCTTCTGGTGTAATACAGAATCAGAAGCAAGCTGAATAACAAATCGATTATCACAATATAATGTAGATGAAGAAGTCACTGGAAATCCAAACTCGTCAAGAATCGATCGTAGCCAGATAATCTCACATGCGTCAAGTGCCAGTGCCAGTGCCCAATACTTTGCCTCTGCTGAAGAGCGAGAGATAACTGATTGATTCTTCCTCTTCCAAGAGAGAAGATGAGTCCTTTGAAAAACACAAAAGGCTGTAGTAGATCGACCGTCACATGCTCTCCTATAATCTGAATCTGAATAACAGGCTAGAGAACCAGTCTGAGATCTTGATGCATAGAACAACCCAAGTCTAGGACAAGACTTGAGGTACCGAAGAATATGATAAACTGCATCAAGATGAGGCTGACATGGTCTGTGCATGAACTAACTAACTCTGCTGACAGTGAATAAAATGTCTGACCTAGTGTTGACTAGGTAGATAAGTTTACCTACCAACCTCTGATAGACAGTCGGATCTCTCAACTCCTCACCTTCAACAGTAAGCTTTAGGTTTGGAATCATGGGTGATGATGTCGGTTTGTACCCTAGCATCCCAGTGTCTGAGAGAAGATCTAGAATATACTATCTCCGAGAAAGAATAATACCTCTGCTGCTACGGGCAATCTCAATCCCAAGAAAGTATCACAAAAATTCAAGGTCCTTCACATCAAAGGCCTTCCTAAGGTCTACCATGACCTGCGCAGTCCTAGAAATATTATCTCCAATAATAATAATATCATCAACATATACCAAAAGGATGACATACTGTCCAGAAGTATTCCATCGAATGAAGCAGGTATGATCAGAATGACATCCGGTGAACCCTAAATGTACAACTACATCACTAAAGCAAGAGAACCAGACTCATAGTGACTATTTTAGTCCATAAAGAGACTTACGTAGTCGACATACCTTTCCAGGATACTCCCCCTCACCACGAAAGTCCGATGGTGCATTCATATAAATAATCTCGTCCAGATTACCATGAAGAAATGCATTCTTCACATTCAACTGATGAAGAGGCCAAGAGTACTCTGCAGCCAGAGAAATAATTAGTCGAACAGTAATCAATTTTTCCATGGGGCAGAGGTAGCACCAAAATCATGACCTGGTACTTGAGTAAAGTCTTTCGCCACAAGCCTAGTCTTGTGACGATCAATAGTACCATCCGCAAGAAACTTCAGGGTGCAAACCCAGCGACAGCCAACAGGCTTCACCCCTGAAGGTAAAGAGACAAGATCCCACGTATGATTACGTTGAAGAACGTCCATCTCTGTCTACATGGCAAGAACCCATTGGGGCTCCCGCAAAGCCTCTAAAACAAAGCAAGGAACTGACATATCTGATAAGGCCATACTATAAGTCTGAAATGTAGGAGACAGATCACCATAAGAAACATAAGTAGAGATCGGGTATAAAATCCTGACAGTTCAACCATAACAAATAACTAGACGACGATCACGCTGCGGATAACGACGACTTAAATCATCATCCTCCACCGACAATGTCTCATCAGGTAAAACAACTGGCTCAGTACCTGTAATTTCATCAGTACTAACAATAGGTGCATCAATATGCTCAACAAACTGAGAAGTATTACCTGCATCACCTAAGGTAGAGGGGACATCAGCAGGGAGGATGAGATCGAGGGCGACGAACATAAACCTGCAAAAGAAGAGAGACTGGTGACTCTATACCAGGGATGAGTGGCTCTGGACGAGGAGAGACCGATGAATCTGTAGTGATAGTGACCAATGACTCTAGCTCTAGGGGGTAATGAAAAATCAAAGGAAATATCATCAACTAAAGGGGCAGACACAAGATTGAAAGAAAAATAAGAAATATGCTCAAGAAATGTAAAATCTAGATTGTGATACATACAGTGTTTAACAGGATCATAACACTAATACCCCTTAGACTGATGACAATAGCCCACAAAGACACAACGTATTGCTTTATCATCAAGCTTATGACAAGTAGGAGACTGATCCTGAATGAAACATGTGCATCCAAAAACATGAGGGGGGACCGGAAAAAGTGTTCGCTCAGAAAATAAAACCTATAAGGGAGCCCTATGCTAAAGAACACGACTCAGCGTATGATTGCACAGAAAGGTAGAAGTCAAAATAGCAAAATACCAATAAGATTTTGACACCCTCATGCCTCTAAGCATGAAATGTACCATCCTTATCAGACTCCTATTTTTTCTTTCAGCAACACCATTTTGCTCAAGAGTATATGGATAAGTGAGTTGCTGAAAGATACCCTGAGAAGAAATGTGAGACACTAAGGCATCAGACACAAATTCTTTGGCATTATCCAAAAGAAGAGCACGAACAATGACATCGAATTGTATCTTAATCATTTGTAAAAACTGAGTGATTATAGGGAGTACATCGGACTTCCTATGCAAAAGATAGACCCAAATACAACCGGTATGATCATCTATAAATGTCACATATTATCGGGCACCTGTCAGAGCAGTAACAGGAGAGGGTCCCCAAATATCAAAGTGTATTAGGTCAAATGACTTAGGTGACTAGTGTATGCGAGGAATATAATTGGTCCTAACATGTTTTGATAGGAAACAAATAACACAGTCAAATTTACCACCAACACAAGCATTGCTCAAAGTAGGAAACAACATACACAAATATTTAAAATTAGTATGTCCAAAATGGTCATGCCACAACTGAACAGTTTGTGACGAAAAATCATAACGAGAATTACTAGGTAAAATACTAACATACAAGCTAGGAACAGATAAAGGCAAAGCAGGTGCATGTGATATAGGTGGTGGAACTGATGAAACTAGAGGCGGATCGCCTAGATAATACAGTCCATCTCTCTCATGTCCCTGGTAATAATCCTCCTAATACTCATATCCTGTAAATAACACAAATCAGATAAGAATACAACTGCACAGTGAAAATCTCTGGCTAACTGATGTACAGATAATAGATTCATAGTCAGCTTTGACACATGAAAAATCGAACGTAATGTAAAACTATCTGGGAGGTGGACTGTACCCCTACTAACAATAGGGGTATGTGTCCCATCTGCTAACTGAACTTGTGTATGTAACTGCTCGCCGAAAGTGATGAAGTGATGGACCTTACCTGTCATGTGACCATTCGCACCCGAGTCCAGCATCCAAAGGGGAGACGGACTAGCACAAGCATGAAAGACACGAGGTACACCTATAGTGATGGCTGCAGCAGTAGTCGGACTCTGAGAAGTCTGAGCGGACATAAGTATATCCAATCAAAAAGTGATAGAATCCATATCACTTTGCCAAGGAGAAGCAGTAGTAGTAGTAGTAGTGGTAGGAGATGGTGGTATCTCAGCAATGGCAGCAGCACGGCCGTGAGGAGACAACTTAAGCTCTGGATGGAACTTCCAGCAAGTAGCCCTGAGATGTCCTGGTCGGCCACAATAATCACACTGGCGAGAATCTCCCTGTCTGTACTGATTTGGGGCACCCTGACAGCGCTGATCCTAGCTCTGCCCACCCCTAACTAAGGATCCTGAACGAGACCTTACAACAGTTGTAAGGGTCATATTGTCAGCCGGAGGAGTCAAGACCACAACTGGAAGTAATGCAATACGAACGCGGTATTCATGTTGCTTAATCATCATATACACCTCATAAAGAGAAGGAATCGTCAACATCAACAATATCCAGGAATGAGGTCACTCAAACTCATCACAAAGCCCCATAAGGAACTTGTGAATCCTATCCTCCTGCTCTCGAGTATGCAAGAATGTTGCTCCCTCAGGCTCTATCCTCGGAATAGCAGCAAGAAGACGTAGAGTCTCATACTCAAGCCAGCGTTGAGTCAAATAGCCATAATAATCCTAA